AAAAGGAGTACGCGGCCAGCAAATTCATCACCAAAGAGAAAAGGAGGAGGATTTCGGCCACCACCAACCTGTCCGAGCGCCAAGTGACTATCTGGTTCCAGAACCGGAGGGTCAAGGAGAAGAAAGTGGTGAGCAAATCCAAGACAGCGCATCTCCACGCCACCTGACAGAGGATGACTTTGGAGGAGGAAGGGCAAGGAAAAGGAAGCAAAAAGCGTAAATATTTATCTGGTAGTTTGTATGATAACACCATCGGGACTCTGCTGATTCCAAGTCATTATTTAAAAGAAAAAAAAAAAAAAAAAAAAAAAAAACGCGCATCCCCCCCCCAAAAAAATCCACCGACCGCATCTTTGATTTATCCCCCTGTCCCGCTCTGACTGTGAAAACCCCAGTTTTGCTCTGAGAAATCCATCGATAAGGTTAAACCGTGTATATTTTTTAAAAGAAAATAATAATAAGCTAAGAGTGTAGTTACGTTAAAGCAGAGAGGAACTCTGAATGTCGCCCTGTAACGCTGTATAGTCCGACCCCCCTCGCCAGTCTTTCCTATCTCGGGCCATTTCACTCACCGATGTAGAAATGTATGGAGAACCTATGGCAAAGTTGCATCAGCTTCGTATTTTCTCGGCACTAGGGACCGAAAATAAGAAATAAGGCTGCTATTGTGGGAAGAAAACCATCGCTCGGTATCGCTTAACTATCCCAACCACTGATTTTAGGTCCTAGATGGAAATGAGTTGCTGCACGAGACTGTTTTGGGTATGTTCTCATGAGGGTTTCTATATCTCTGCCGTAAAACTGGAATGTCTGTTCTCCGCTGACAAGATGGAAAATGCACAATATTGTCTTTGGGGTTTGTTTCTTTCCCTCTCTAAACCGGCTAATTATCGACAGTGTTCTTTGGATATGTAAAAGCATCTTTTTTTTTTTTTTTTTTAATGTCTTGTATATGTATATAATATTGTGGTGTCCAGATAAAATGTACCGACTGCAGATGACATTTCTTAAAAATAAATTTCTTTTTTTTGTTGTTGTTGTTTTGCCTTGAGGAGAGGCTCTTTGTGCACCTCTTTGTAGCCCTGTGCCTCTCCCATCCCTCCCTCCAGCCCTCTCCTCTCCCCACCACCGCAAATACAGCCCGGGCGGAACCTCCGCAGAGAAAGGATGGGGGGGAAAAAAAAAGGGGGGGCGGGAAATCCAGCAAATTTGGGCAGAAACCGCTTAATAAGGGGCTCCCCGGAAGATGCCAAGGGCATGTCCCCAAGGAGGGTTGTACCCAGGGGGAGTAAAAAGCGGAGAAAATAAATTGAACCAACTGAGCGCTCTTTTTTTTTTTTTTTTAAGTTTTTTTTTTTTTTTTTTTTTTTTTTTTTTGTCTTTTTTTTTTTCCCCCCGCATTTCCCC